CGTGGCCTCTGAAAACTGGGCATTATTCTAGGGCCAAAGGGAATCACAGCACCACGACCACGATGGCCCCTGCGGGGTGGCCTGCCTCTGCCTGCCATTTTTGTTGGGATTAGTGGTACTATGCGTGCAAGCTACTGTGAGACCAGATATGAGTGGCAATGTGCACTGGCACAGTTGTGCAGAGCACAGGCTGTAGGCCTGACACCCGCTTGAAGATAACCAACTGCTATTCAATCTATAACAGTGAAAAAAGTTTTTTGTTTTTTTAAATCCAAGCTATTGTGACACCAGATCTAATTGGTGGCACTGGTCAGCGTATCCACTGTTAGCGTAACACACCCGCTTTAAGGACACTGACTGCTATTCAATCTATAACAGTGAAAAAAGTATTATTTTTTTAAATCCAAGCTATTGTGACACCAGATCTAATTAGTGGCACTGGTCAGCGTATCCACTGTTAGCGTAACACACCCGCTTTAAGGACACTGACTGCTATTCAATCTATAACAGTGAAAAAAGTGTTTTGTTTTTTTAAATCCAAGCTTTGTGTCACCAGATCTAATTGGTGGCACTGGTCAGCATATCCACTGTTAGTGTAACACACCCGCTTTAAGGACACTAACTGCTATTCAATCTATAACAGTGAAAAAAGTTTTGTTTTTTTAAATCCAAGCTATTGTGACACCAGAAAAAGGTGCTCTGTGCAATTAGGCGCTTAACAATAATATATAAATAGAACAGCAGCTCAAACACGCATGCAGGTATCCCAATCCTACACAAACACAATGTGAAAGAAAAAAGTGAACTTAGTGGATCGTACTACCACCAAAAGATCACTCAGTGGAGCGCTAAATATCAAATTCTTACCCCTATTGGAATAACGTATATATCACTTTAAGGGGCAGACAGCATAATAAAATCTACAACAAGAAAATACACATCATAGTGCAGTATGCTTGTAAGGTGTGAATGGAGTGGAAGAAGATGTATGTCCAACTCACATGGTAAAGAGCCTGGAGATTGGCTCAAATCACAACAGCTGAGGTATGTTTGGTAATACCAGACCTTCTCCAGATATACAGCTCACAACATATGTGGATAAAAAAGGACAAAAATCCTAGTGCAAGTATGTTTAAAATAAACAAGTGGTCACATATAACTGACTGGGGAAATGGGCACTGTGAGCCTGACACAGAAGCTGGCAGCAGTGGCAGACAACTAAGTGCATTTACATTACATAGAAAAAAAAAAGCATACCCTTATCCCTAACCTAGCTATGCTTTTCCCTATCTTATGAACAGCAGCTACACTTTCCTCCTCTTACTAAGCATGCAGCTTGAGAATGAATCTAAAATGGATGCTGTCCAGTAGGTGGGAGGGTCTGCTAGGGAGGCTGTGCTGCTAATTGGCTGGAATGTGTCTGCTGACTGTGAGGTACAGGGTAAAAGTTTACTCAATGATGACGAATAGAGGGCGGGTCGAACCGCGCATATGTTCGCCCGCCGTGGCGAACGCGAACATGCTATGTTCGCCAGGAACCGTTCGCCAGCGAACCGTTCGGTACATCACTATTAAGATGTTTAGGATTTTTATTGTGTCTAATAAAATGTTTCGACAGCGAGTGGTTTTCATGTCCTTTAATAATGTTTTGGCAGTGTTCTACTAATCTAACTTTTAAACAGCTAGTAGTCATCCCTATATATTGAAGTCCGCATGGGCACTCCAATAAATATATCACATTCTTGGTGTTGCAACTAATAAAATCATTAATGAAATAGGTAATTAATAGCTCTAGGGTTTGCTGGTACTGGTAGGCACAAACGTTGTGCAACAAGGGACAGAGCTAAGTATATATACTATATTGAGACATTTTAAGATTTGCCTATGCTTTGAATGTTTTACCTATATGTTGACCTAACCTGTATGCTAACCTAATACGAGTTTCTACCACTACTACAACCCTTGTTTTTTTTATAATAAATGTTACATGCATCGTTTTATTATACTATCTATTACTGTGACTTATGTATTTATGTTTTGAAGAATACTATGTATATATCTATTCTGTCCTTCCATGATGACGTCATTTTGGCGCCAATTTTAAAATTTAATTGCAGTAAGCTCCCTATGTATACATCTGTATGTCTGGCTTGTTACTCAATACCTATTTCTAGTTGAAGAAACCCTGTGTGGCAAAACGCGTTTAGAAATTCTGTTTTTATTTTTTTTTGGAATTAAATAAAGAAATTTTTTGGCTACTTGTTTACGTTTGCCATATTCCCTTTTTATTTTTTTATTTCTATTTTATTTTACTGCCTGACACCTTTGCCCCTTTTTTTTTACAAAGACTAAATGTATCCAAGGTGGAGATTATACCACCAGCGCCCTATAGATTGAGCAGTGAGACCGCTCAGCCAAATGTGGGTATATTTCTTATATTCCATAATCACAATTTTGTCCCCAAACTGCAGTGAACACTATATTTTTTGTTGTTTATCTTCTCGGTTGGAGTTCCCCCTGTTACCATACCATTGAAGGTTGGGAGTACGTCACATATCCTAGAAGTGGGGATCATACCTGTCACGGGTGGCGGTACGGAAACCGGGACCCCTGTGTGCCTGATGATAAGTGGGAGTCTTTAGCGTGATAGTGGATAGGTCAGGGTCTGGTGCAGGGTAACCACATGCCCTCTGGTGTTGAGCACCAGCGTTTGCGCGGCCACATACCAGAACCATGATGCAGCTACAGCGGATCCCAGGAACTAGGAGCTTGATATGCAGACCTGCGAGGAGCTGAATAAGGAGGCTCTGCAGCAAGAATGTATCCAGTACAGAAACATGGCAAGACTAGAACAGGCACCAAACATGAAAACAAGACAGAACTAGTAGAACCCAGAACCAGAGAAGGATAGGAAGCTAAACCCAGAACATGTACACAATACATAAGGGAATGTAAACTAAACAGGGGCAGGACAGGACAGGACTGTACATGGACTGGGTATACAAAACTAAAACAAGACAAGATATAATAGGCAAAACAAGAGGAGACATAACTAAGCACTATATATGAAAAGTATGGGGATTTAGTTACATTATCTGATCATACATTGCATAAGCCTGCCACAACGCCAATGTACCCCATATTCGTCAGGTCCTACACTGCCTAATGTTCGCTAAAAGAACCATACTAAACCACAATAGCACTTACCTGCAAGAAACGACAGAGACTTGAAAGACTGCTGCAGGTCCAGACTGAAACAAAAGGAAAATGGAAAACAAACGGGTGTGGCAACATAAAACTAACATTTAAATGAATCCAAGAGACTGGGAAATCCAGGAACGGAATATAAGAATGAACCCAGAAACCCAGCATAAAGAAAACCAGTCATAGAATAGAAAACCAGAAAACCAAGAAAAACTAAACAAGAATTATAAAAAGAGTACTGGATACCAAAGCCAGACATCTCCGCAGAACATGGCAAGATGTGACAATACCACTCTAAGCCCTACAAACCAGAGCTGGATTTAGCTCTGGTAAATGTGAGTAATATCTACCTCATTAATATCTCGTTAGAATTTTATATACATACTGTACCATTGGAGTCCCTCTCTCTGCCTTTTTACATGTACCCAAGTTACGTTTGATCTAGGAACTGTTATTAACAGTTTGCTGCTTTTTTTTTTAGTAACCATATCTGTACTGTGGAGTTTGGGAGGCAACCCTATTTCTATAGGTGTGCTGCTGGTTTCTGTGGCCTGATATTGCTGATCCACTCATAATTTATCTAATTTTGATTGATTGACTGATGATCTCCACTGGCAAGACGGGACAGCCAGGGTGCCGTCGGCAGGGCCGTGTGAGCACGCCGAAACTCGCGTTGGGCATTTAATTTCTTTCCCATTTTTATTTTTATAATCACTTGGGTAGCACTATGAGCACTTTATAGTTCATTAGTTTTTTATTATAGCTCTAGGGTTTACTGGTTCTGGTAGACACTAGCTTTGTGCGGTGCCGAGGTAACATGGGACAGAGTATAAATACTATATTGAGACATCTTTATATTTGCTGATGCTTGGAATGTTTTACCTATATGCTATATTTAGGTCTATGTTTTATTCACAATAGATTGATATATATATATATATATATATATACAGAGTCCATGGGTATTTACTGACCTAGACGTCTCTCTGTCCAGGAGTAGAATCTAATGGATGATTTAATAATTTATGTATCGGGTATTTGATTTATCGTCTTTACTGTCCACTCTTCCCTAGTACTATTATTATAGTTCCACTTTTTATCTTAGATTTATTAAAGTTAGGGTTTCAACTTTATTTTCCTCCATTTTTCCTGTGCTCTCTCCCAGTGAGATCCCTCCCTTTTTGTAAATCGCACCAGGATCTATTCTGTTCTTTGTGTTAAGATTTTGTGGGTTATCTCTGGAGAGCACAGTTTAGGCGACCGTCCTTCACATAGGAGGTTTGATGCCGTGGCACCCTCTCTCCCCTCTGTGGAGCGAGGTACAGCCACTGCTTTCTATTACTTTAATGTTCTATTGATTCACAGCGATCACTTGTTTTTAGACAAAAATGTAAATTCCACTGATGAATTCCTCATGCTTTCAGATAAACTCAGCATCACCTTGATCAAGTTTATTCATCTCAGTGTTAGAAAAAAGGGTTGCGTTCAGTCACAAGTTTTTAACACAGGGTACTACTGAGCATGGGTCAGCAAACCCCAAGGAATAAGTGAAAAAAAAAAAGAAAAAGTCACTCACTGTGATCACTTCCAGGCAGAGTTATTGCAACGTTTCGACCTGTAACCAGGTCTTTATCAAGCTTGATAAAGACCTGGTTACTGGTTGAAACGTTGCAATAACTCTGCCTGGAAGTGATCACTGTGAGTGCCTGAGGTTTTTTTTTGTTTGTTTTGTTTTTTTCACTTATTCATCTAAGTGTATGGTAACATTCTTAATTCTGCAAAAATAATGACAGTGATTGCACTTTCTGAAACCTTTTTATTACATTACAAACATTTGATTTTTATATTGTCTATGTTGCTAATAATATTACTAACATTAGTTAAACTGATTCTTGAACACAACCTTTATTCAATCAGAATGGAATATAGTTCTTGCTATGGCTGCTGATTTCTTTGCGATTTTAGTTTTTTTGACATGAATAGTATTGCCATCGTCTGTCCCTGTAACACAATAAGAAAAATATGTCAATCTCTCTGAGTTTCCATGCTTGCCATGATATTGCTGTACAGAAACAGCTGGTATAAAGCTGTAGATGAAACTATGGATTTGCAACCTGAGAAGAGATTTTTAATCATAATATGTAATAATAAATGTGTAATAATGTGTTAGGCTCTGTATTATACTAATGTTACACTTATTATAATACACTAGTAATTTAACATGTCTAAATGACAAGTGACTAAGCTTAAGTAGAGCAAACAAAAAAGGAAATAGCTGAGCAATAGAAAATGTAAGTAAATGACACCATGGAATATTCATTTGATATTTAATTGAAGTTCATTTTCACTTTGCTTTCTCAATTTTTTTGCTGGTTGTATTTGCCTATTTTTCCTCTCATATTGTTTTTGTTTAATATGTATTATTATTTATTTTTATTAATATTACTTTTATTTTTCATTCTATTGTTTTAATTTATATATAGCTCATTATTATTGTATTTCAAACCTCTTATTTTCTTCACTTTTGTTCTTTATTCTCTTTATTCCTAGGTTATCAACATTTGGACTGTGTGGCACAAGCCGCCACCAGTCTAAACAGTGGTGAGCTAGTAAGTAAATGTACTTACCCCTTTATGGGGATATCTCGTGCCATAATAAAAATAAGTGCCATAATGTATGCCATAATAAAAATAAATCACATATCTTTTAATACAGTAAATGAGTGTATAATTATATATTGGATACACTCACATAGGATAGAGCCAGTTTGGGACAGGCTCAAATCTCTACATCAGAACCTCTTCTATTGTTCACTGAGGTATACTCAAAAAAGAGAATACAAAAAGACAAGCAGAAAGCTCTTAGTGTAATAGGTACAGGTAAGCATAATATAGTGTAAACACATGAAAGGCTTCTCAACTTTTATGGAGCTTAAAGCCTGGCTCTTTGTGATAGGGTTGATGTTCCAATACAGGGGGACAAAACCCTTCTTTAGAGCAGCAGCAGATATAGGTTTGTATGTGCACCCTCTGCCCTTGCTGCGCCAAGGTAGTCATAGGGACTTCTTTAGGGATGTAACTATTCCCTGGTATACACTCAAGAGTAGTGGGATTATTTCCCCGCCCATTGGTATCTCTAGGCGAATATAGTTGTAAATTTCTATTATATTCCCCATCGTTTTTCCCCTTCTTTATTTGAGTAGTTAGGAGGGTGAATCAATTGAGGCTTTAGTCTTCTTATTTAATATTTTAGTTCCTAAGACTTCTGCTATAAGGTTTTTTCGCTTTTCTTTTAGCCCACAGCCACCTCCATTTACCACTCACATTTGTCAATCAACATTTTACTCACCTTTTATTGTATCTGTGTCGATAATCCTATATGTCTATTTTTTTTTAATTCCTAGTTTAATATACCTTTAATACATTTTTTATTCTGCAACCCATTTAGTGTTATAGGTTTATCTACCTTAATAGCTTCACTTGTACTATTTGTTTTATTTTATATACTTTAGTGATTACTGTATGTTAATTTTTCGTTTACACAGACACAAAATATACAGATGCATAATGACACACATGCAGATACACAGTCACACAATGACACACATGCAAATGCTGATAAACAGATACACAGGGGCACATATTGACACACAGACACTGACACACATACACACAGATACAGACGCACAGGCACATATACATTCAAAATGAAGACATTTTTTAGCCACCCTTCGTTTCCTACCTTTTGGGTGCAGGATGGTGGTTTTCCTGCAGTCCAGTCAACTGGCTGAGGATGTTGGGAGTCAGAAGTTCTCCCACACTGCTCCCCTTCGCCTCCCTCCCATGTGACTCTGTGTTCTTTGGAAGGAAGTGACCTCCGAGTGCTAACATCATCAAAGGGGCCCAGTTGCGCTGTTAAAGGGCTGCAGTGTTGACCGGGCTCCTGAATACACTTTTTGGCCCTAAGTGCACCAGTGGCGGATCCAGAGCCTGATCTCGGGAGGGGCACTTGTAGATTATTTAAAGAAATAATCCAGGCACAATAACCACTACAGCTCAGTGTAGTAGTTATGGTGCCAGTAGTGCCAGGATCCCATCCCAGAGTAAGTAGTCAAACCATTTAAGAACAGTTTGACAACTTTCCTGGGATCTGCTGGGATATAGGGCATAGGAGCAGTGGTATGTGTGAGGGGTGAAGTGTGTGTGAAAGGTGCAGTGAGTGTGTGTGTGTGAGTGCGTGAGGGCGGCAGTGTGTATGTGAAGGGGGCAGAGTGTGTGAGAGTAACAGTGTGTGTGTGAGCGGTGCAGTGTATGTGTGTTTGGGGCAGTGTATGTATGGGAGGGCACTGTATGTGTGTTTGGGGATGTGTGTGTATGTGGGCACTGTATGTGTGTGTGGGGCAGTGTGTGAATGAGGGGCACTGTATGTGTGTGTATGGGGGGCATTGTATGTGTGTGTGTGTGTGGGGGGCAATGTGTGTAGGTGGGCAGTGTACGTGTGTATGGGGGCAATGTGTGTATGGGAGGGCAGTGTGTGTATGGGGGCACTGTATGTGTGTGTGGGGCACTGTATGTATGTGTGGGGCAGTGAGTGTATTGGGGGTCATGTGAGTGGGGCAATGTGTGTATTGGGGGGCAGCAGTGTCTGTGGGGCAATGTGTGTATGGGGGGCCGTATGTGAGTGGGGCAATGTGTGTATGTGTGTGGGGGGCAATGTGTCTATGGGTGTGCAGTGTGTGTGTGTGAGGCAGTGTGTGTATGGGTGGCAGTGTTTATGGGGCAGTGTGTGTATGGGGGCAATGTTTGTGGGGCAGTGTATGCATGGGGAGCAGTGTTTGTGGGGCAGTGTGTTTATGTGGAGGCATTGTTTGTGGGGGGAGGAGGGTAGGGAGGCTTTTTAATAATGTTTTCTTTTTTTATTTAAAAAAATAAATATATTTATGTCCCCCCTTCCTTCTTACCTTTACTGAGGGAGGAGGGGGGACATTTCTTGATCACTGGTGGTCTGTGGGGAATCCCTGGTGGTCCCAGTGGTAAGAGTGAACTCTAGCCCATATCTCCAGGGCTAGCGCTCACTCTCGCGAGATCCGAAACGTTGCCGTGGTAACCGCGGCAACGCTCCATGCTTGCGAGAGTAAGACCCGGAGGAGCTACAGGTTGAGCTCCCGGGTCCTCTCTCCCTCCCTCCCCTGCCAGCTGCCAGCAATGTGCCTGGGACTGGGGAGGGAGATCTATGATCTTCCTCCCCAGTCCACAGGCACATTGCAGGGCTGGCACTTGGACAGTGCCAGCCCTGCATTAGCCGGCAGGGGAGAATCTTGGGTGGGGAATTGCCCCCCCTGGATCCACCACTGAAGTGCACGGGCCACCCGATGAGCTCCCAAAGTGTGCAGCAGTAGTTCTGCCACTGGTCTGTATCTCTGTTTGATACGTTCGTGTCAATCTAGTTATTAGTGCTCGAGAGAAGTTATGTAGGTAATTACCTGTCTGCAGAGGTACTACTACAGCCTAGCTCAATAATGTTTTGAAACGTCCTAGTTAAAAACCAGCAGGATTATGTAAAAAACACTCCCTGGTAGAATTTTGGTGGTTTTCAGTAAAAAAACAAAATGGCACATTTTGAGTTTGCGAAAAGGCATGTGGGAGACTCCCAAAATGTATGGAGGAAGGTGCTCTGGTCTGATGAGACTAAAATTGAACTTTTCGGCCATCAAAGAAAACGCTATGTCTGGCGCAAACCCAACACATCACATCACCCAAAGAACACCATCCCCACAGTGAAATATGGTGGTGGCAGCATCATGCCGTGGGGATGTTTTTCAGCAGCTGGGCTTTGTTTTTCAGCAGCTGGGACTGGGAAACTGGTCAGAGTTGAGGGAAAGATGGATGGTGCTAAATACAGGGATATTCTTGAGCAAAATCTGTACCACTCTGTGCGTGATTTGAGGCTAGGACGAAGGTTCACCTTCCAGCAGGACAATGACCCCAAACACACTGCTAAAGCAACACTTGAGTGGTTTAAGGGGAAACATGTAAATGTATTGGAATGGCCTAGTCAAAGCCCAGACCTCAATCCAATAGAAAATCTGTGGTCAGACTTAAAGATTGCTGTTCACAACCGTAAACCATCCAACTTGAAGGAGCTGGAGCAGTTTTGCAAGGAGGAATGGGCAAAAATCTCAGTGGTAAGATGTGGCAAGCTCATAGAGACTTATCCAAAGCGACTTGGAGCTGTGATTGCCGCAAAAGGTGGCTCTACAAAGTATTGACTTTAGGGGGGTGAATAGTTATGCACATTGAATTATTCTGTTATTTTGTCCAAAGTTGTTCAAAGTTGTGGGAATGTTCTGTAAATGAAATGATGCAAATCCTCAAACAATCCACGTTAATTCCAGGTTGTTCGGCAGCAAAACACGAAGAATGCCAAGGGGGTGAATACTTTTGCAAGGCACCGTACAAAGACACACTAACAAAAATTCATTAACACGCAAGCAATACCATACATCCAAAGATACCCACACTCATACACACATTCACAAACAAACACACTAGCACACATCCACAGACACACACATATTGTCATTTTAATCTCACTTTCTCTGCTTGTATTACTCAGAGAGGGAGTGATAGGGACTCGGTACTCTCCCTGGTGTCACTAGTCCAGTACTATCCTTACCTTTTTGTGTCATTTTACCCCACTCCCTCTAGCATGTAAGCTCATTGAGCAGGGCCCTCAACCCCTCTGTTCCTGTGTGTCCAACTTGTCTGGTTACAACTACATGTCTGTTCGTCCACCCATTGTAAAGCGCTGCGGAATTTGATGGCGCTATATAAATATCATAATAATAATAATAAGGGTGAGGACTCGGAGTAGGAGAGCATTGCACTCAGGCAGGTAGGCGAGTAGCCATAAGGTAACAAGTTGCTGTGGTAGCTCCTGAACTCTATTAGTATAAAGAAGGGACAAATGCAATAGCAGGTTCAGGTCTGGATCCAAAGTCAAAGAAAGGGCACCCTGTTCCTGTTACAATTATTGGGAGGGACTGGAGATAATCCAGCTGTCATGCTCTGCAAGGGTACCAGTGAAAACGTCCGAGATGACAAAGAATGAGTTCAAGAAATAAGGAAACAAACTGGTGGTATTGGCTGAGATATAACTTGTGCCAGTGAAAAGGCAGCAGGAGATTAGCAGGTTAATCCATGGCTAAAGTCATGGTGTAGGAAGGAGGGTTTAGGTTTTTTTAGCACACTGCACCTGTTTTGCGCTTGGGTAAAATCTCTATAGTCATGATGGGTTGTACCTAAACACGTTTCTGCTGTTTTAGGGGCAGGTGACTAGTAGGTTGGAGAAAATTTTTAAGAAGTCTACTAAATGAAGATATGGGGTTCAGTACAGGAAAAGGGGGGTGGAGATGCAAGAGTAGTAGAATCAGAACAAAGAATGTATGTAATAAAAATGTATTTACAGTTCAAATGACTCATAATAATATTAAAGGAACACTATAGTGTGTACATGTATTCCTGATACTATAGTATTGAAACCACCATTTAGATCCCTGCTCCCTCAATCCTGGTTAAAAAAGTGTAAAACTCTTTTTTCTAGTGCCACTCTTTTGGCTGACATCATCAAACTAGGAAAGCAATGGGAGATTATTGCGCAAGCATGGCAAAATGTTGTTCTGCGCCAATCAGCATCTCCTCATAAAGATGTATTGAATCAAGGCATCTCGAGGGAGGAACATTCAGCGCCTGCATGCAGGGCATTTAGTTGCTGAATGTTAGTGCTGCACATTGTGAAGAAGTAAGAAGAAGTATAGACCAGGGGGCTGCAGTGGATGTGATCCTCTTGGGTTTTGCCAAGGTATTCTATACAGTTTGACACATTAGGCTAGTATTCAACTTAAAATAAAATTCTTGTCCTTGGTAGAACATTGGCATAAAGACAGAGTATAGAGAATTAAAAATGGTGTCCCTCAGGGTTCTGTTCTGACTGCTTTTATTTAACATATATATAATTCATCTTAAAATAGGCTTTAAAGGTCATGTGTCAGCAGATGACACAAAACTAGGTGGGTAATACAATGTGAACAGTATACAAAGGTGAGTTGACCCTGCTAGGATTTGAACCTGCAACCAAGAGTTAAACAGATTTAAGTGTTGATGCATTAAACCACTGAGCTATCTCACCAGCATATATATAGTTAATTGTTTTGTGTGCTCTCCTGTCCTGCTGATGCTTGTTACCAAATAAGTGGATTTGGTTATGGAGCCTGCACTGCCTGAATAGCAAGGCTTGTTAATATGCATATTCAGGTTGATTTGCATATTGTCAATTCTGAAAGCAGGATATATATTTTGTGTTAATTATTGTCTTCCCCACTCCTTTATGAATATGTAATTGTGTTGTTATAAGTTGCTGTCTGTTGTCTATGATCTGGTTATTTGTATTTTGTAGAAGTTGTCACAGCAATCTTAGGTTAATGATCATATGGGCTATTTCCAAGTAAAAAAATAAAGAAGTGTATGCTAGTTACTTTCAGAACTGTGTGTCCTATGTGGATTTCTAGGGATGCCAGTCACCGAGTTGTCGTGGGACAAATCAAAGAGAGGTCGGCCTGAGAGCCGCAAGTGTCTTTATAAAGACAAGAGCTATCGCATTGCAGGCAGAGGTGCATACCTGCCTGGATGGAAAGCTGCAGAGAAAACGATACCTTCCTGGAAGAAGGTCTGCAGAGGAATAGGCAGAGGGGACGATACCTACTTGGAAGGAGAGCTTTAACTTGGTCTGGTGGAAAAGCTCCAGAGAATATATAGTCAAGCCTCGGTGCCTGGGTCTGAAGTGCTCCAGGGTCCTGTCAAGTGACTAGGAAGTGAACTGGGGGAGGTACTCGTTGGAGTACAGGAGCTCCGTCAGAGTTCACCTTAATTCAACTTGGACAGTTACTGTATACTTACTCTTTTCCATTGTCATGGTAGCTTCTTGTACCCACCAGGTAGAAGTTGGGTAAGGCATCCCATTTCAAGTACCCATCAAACTCATTGACGTAGCCACTCCACTGGCAGTTACTTGTGACTTGTACTTCTCCTGTACAGCATTCAAACTTCCATCTGCAAGTGAATTTGTTTTACATGATAGATTTTTATTGCAGGTATTTTTATAAAAAATAACTCTCACATTAAGGTCTTAACTTAATATTTTTTTCCTAAGCTTTTAAAATGATTTATATTATTTTTGGATAACAACATTTTTTTTTTAAAAAATTCAAAACATAAAAAATAAAAAAATAAAAATATTAAACAGGCAAAAATATATCTAAATATATATATATATATAGATATATATATATTTAGATATATATATATATTTATGTATATGTGTGTATATATATATTAATTCTTTATTTTGTTGTGCAAGTAATAACAAATTACTGCGGAAGGTAGGCGGCTGGTGAGTGACTGCAGTGATTTACGCCATTGAAGTGTAGTTTTAGTGAGGTCCTGGTAGAAGGTTAAGTGCGACTCTTCAAATAGTAATTTTTTTTTTTATTATTCTTTATTTTCATAGTGCATAGCTTAATAACATACAAGCTTGTCATGCTATGACAACTGTGACAAGCATTCTTGAGTATACATCTAGATACGGTGTCATAGCATGTGAGAACATAGTACATTTTTATGGGTTTAATACACAGGTTAAACTAAGCACTTCTTTTTTTAATATTAGACTAGTTAGGTAACACGCCCAGGATTGTGCTATTTCTGGCAGGTGTGTTGGTTCCCTGGGATACTCCAGGTTTGGGTGTCTGTGAATGCTCGCGGGTACTAAATGTGGCTTTAGTTCAGAATTGTGGCAACTGACATTTAATGTGGATAAGTTCAAGATAATGCATCTTGGACGTAAAAACCCAAGGGCAGAGTACAGAATATTTGATAGAGTCCTAACCTCAACATATGAGGAAAGGGATTTAGGGGTGATTATTTCTGATGACTTAAGGTAGGCAGACAATGTAATAGAGCAGCAGGAAATGCTAGCAGAATGCTTGGTTGTATAGGGAGAGGTATTAGCAGTAGAAAGAGGGAAGTGCTCATGCCATTGTACAGAACACAGGTGAGACCTCACTTGGAGTATTGTACACAGTACTGGAGACCGTATCTTCAGAAGGATATTGATACCTTAGAGAGGGTTCAGAGAAGGGCTACTAAACTGGTTCATGGATTGCGGGATAAAACTTACCAGGAAAGGTTAAAGGATCTTAACATGTATAGCTTGGAGGAAAGACGAGACAGGGGGGATATGATAAACATTTAAATATATAAAGGGAATCAACACAGTAAAGGAGGAGACTATATTTAAAAGAAGAAAAACTACTACAACAAGAGGACATAGTCTTAAATTAGAGGGACAAAGGTTTAAAAATAATATCAGGAAGTATTACTTTACTGAGAGGGTAGTGGATGCATGGAATAGCCTTCCAGCTGAAGTGGTAGAGGTTAACACAGTAAACGAGTTTACGCATGCGTGGTATAGGCATAAGGCTATCCTAACTATAAGATAAGGCCAGGGACTAATGAAAGTATTTAGAAAATTGGGCAGACTAGATGGGCCGAATGGTTCTTATCTGCCGTCACATTCTATGTTTCTAGTTGGGAGCCTAAGAGTAAATATTTGCTTGGTGCAGGTTTGGGTCAGGCTTGTGGTGTCAGATGTCAGTGGGTACCTGTCTATAGGCCCCCATTAGTTTTTAGTTTGTGTTTTATCAGGTGTGTGTGAGGCTCCATATTGCAGGGTACTACCTGTGGCATCTTAACTGTTTCCCCTTACCTTAGGGGAGGCGGGGGGACGGAGGGATGTGTCTAAGGTGGGCGCCATCAGTTTGTCTGTTGTGTGGGTCTGTTTGGTATTGTTGGGTGCATGGGTGCCTCATGTAAATAGTGGTAGTGTTTATGAACAAAATTATACAGTTATTAACAAGGAAACAAAAAGTAAAAATATGAGCACACACATCACATGAGGAGGAAGGGGTGCATACGAGAGGTTATGCACGGGTATAGGCACTTAAGGAGATCACAGCCTAGTATCGATAAAGTCTTGATCTGCAACTGAAATTGTGCCCGTGGTATGTGTGCTATTTTTAGGCTCAGCCTTTGGGCATAGTTAGGTGTTTGTAGATTGTTGGTCCCTTGTTATCTGGGTTGGCGTTGAATCGTTGTCTGGTTCCCAATTCTCTTTTTGACTTGCAGGTGTGGGGTTAAGTTGCAAAGGTTGCAGTCCCATTGCAGATAGGAAGGCTGGTGCTCCTGACAGGGTTGTAAGGTTATGAGTAGTCCCATTGTGGTGTACTAGCAGTGAGCAGGTACGTCCCCATCTACAGGCTATGCCAGCTGCACATAGTGAGGCTGTGACTGGTCCAAATGTTTTACGCCTTAGTAGTGTGGATCTGGTGAGGTCCTGAAATAATGTCAAGTGGGAACACTCTAAGGCCAGTGGCGTTTTACCCTTCAGGGCTGTCATTATCTGTATCTTGTCCTGTACCGATGTGCACTGCAGGATTACATCTCTGGGTGTGCTGGGAGAGATTCGTACCGTGCTTGTAACCCGGTAAATCCTGTTTAGGACTATTTTCTTGGCGGAAGCTTGAGACAGGATCGTGGCCTTGTGTAGTGTGCTAGTTCCTCAGTT